GGAGCAGCTTTTAGTGCTTAAATTGGCCATGCTTCCAAATTTCACAATGTTTTAGTAGACAATTTATTAATTTCCTGTGAAAAAGAAGCCAAATCCCCCTCCCAACTGTTGCAGATCATGGGTACAAGATGCATGCAGCGGACTGCTAGGTCAGCGGGTTTTTTTTTTTTAAAAAAAAAATCAAAATGGCGGACGAAGATTCACACTCGACTGAATGAGGTGAACAATTTTTACAAGATTAATATTCATATTGATGCATGGTCTTTATTCATATATTTTTTGGTTTTAATTGAGGACAAAGTTATTTAGCAACGCTGGTTACGCCGCAAAATTGTGCAAAAATTGTTAGAAATCTTACTTTTGTTGTACTTTTGAAACAGACCAAATAAAGGAACAGAGCAACAAAATGTTTTGTTTTTGTTTGTGTGGGGTAACTTTTGAGCAACTAACAACTTTTGACTTTTTTTTGAGCAACTTTTGAGAAATTGCGGGCAAATTTTTGCCGGAATCTCGAGAAACATGAAACTTAGCATAGCTGCAGGGTTTTCAGCGAAAAAGTGTTAACAATTGGTTAAGATTTTTTGTATAGAGAGGCAAACTTCTGTTTAAGTGGGTTGCTTTGACGTTTATAATTAGGCCGTCGCACAGCTAAGTGAAGAGCCCAAAAGAGCAGAATTGAGGGCCCTGAAAGGCAAAGTGGGGGGGAGGGGGCGGGAGGAGAGGTATAAATCCAATTTCCCACCCATTCTTGATTTTTAGCCAAATCCCAGTTAAATTTCCAGCTTTTATTTGAGATTCTCAGCTCCAGTGACCAGCTAAGTCCCATTTTCCCAATGAAAAAATACTGAAAAAGCCAGTTCTCATTTTACCCATTCAGGCGCTTGAGGCCCCAAAATTAGAGTGGCACGTACGGCTGAAATTGCAAGCTTCTAGATAGAAATGGTAGTTAGGCATGTTTGAAGCCTTAATTAGCTTCAGTTTCCGCCTATCGTTAATTAGACAGTCCCTGTGAGGTCAACCAGATGCGTGTTTTCCTAATAGTTAGTCAGCAGATTTTATTAAGGCCAATTAAACATCAGAGCCGTGTTCACACGGGCAAAGCCTCATACCTGAGGTAGTTTTAAAAATCGTCTAACTTTCTTGACTGCTACTTTTTTTAACTGGATAAAAAATATGACTTTTGAGATGTTCAGTTTTAAATGGCCATAGCTGTAGATATCGTAGTACCTTTGAGATGTAAGCATAAGTCGCAGCATGAAGACCCCAGACAGAGCTTTTAAAAAGCCTGAAAAAACGGGGGTTCGACGGAACAGTCTTCAAGGACAGATCAATTGTAAAAATGTCAGTTTAAAAATGAATGATGGCGCGGTACATCTATGGAAAAAGGAAAATTGAACCACGCCCTTGTTTCGGTATTTTAAGGGTTCTTTCTAAAATTACGCTAGGGTTATCTTCGGGTTTTTTTTTTTTAGGGTAGGTCTAACGTTAATTTCGTTGATAAAAGATTGCTCACCGTCCATCAACAAAACAAAACTACTGTAACAAACTTATATGGCACGAACGTGGTTACATTAGTTTTCCTTTCTAAATATCTTCTACTCGTGGTGCCGAGAAATACTGACATCGAATGACAGTTTCAAAACTAAACCATTTCCAACCATCAGTCAAGGAACTTGACTAACTTCGCAAAATCTGCTGGGCCATGTAAAATGAAGGCGAGAAAAGGCTAAAATGTCCTCTGGCATCAGAAAGATGCTGAATTTTCCTTAAATCTCTTCCACTGCTTGTTCGTGCGACGCTTAATTTTATTGACAAAGGAAGGCAGGGAAGGAATTATCATGAGTGAAAGGAGGAGATAGTTCCGCGTGGACAAGACGTGATAACCCACGCGGCGTTCTTTGAGAGTCTAGACATAACATTGAATATTTTTAGAAGGTCACATTAAAGGTTGCTTTTGAAGATTGCGTCTTAAAAGTGAAATCTCTGGTTCTATGTATTGTAATTTGTTTTGCATTTGGCCATGTCTAAGCTAAAACTTTGCTAAACTCTTGCTGAAAAGATCTAGTTTTATGTTTTGCAGAGAGTCAAGATAGCTGAGAGGAATAAGTTTGTTAGTACACTGATCGTGATGAATCGTAGTTTCGGTATTATCCCCGATACCCTTGAATTTCCGTTTGTGGGCGTTGCCGGTTGATAAAATTAACTCATGGTGGGGTAGAGCGGGCAGAAAAAGCAAACAGACGTTCTCAAACAGCTTCACTGACTTCCGAAGCGTGAAAGAGAGAACGTGCAATCTTCGTGTGAGTCAATCCTTAGAACGATGAAAACAATGGCGTGAACTGTTGCGTTTGAATTGAACGAGAATTTGGACTGTTACCGACGGATTAGTTCGTCTCCGACAGACTGCACTGATCGTTTTCAGGGGAATCGTCTGCACTCGAATTCGTTACAATGAAAACTTTTCGCTAAGCAGATCGTAAATAAATCGGAAATGAATTCTAACTGATATTATTTCACCCCTAATAACACCATATTTCCACAGTTTTCATATCCTTTTCAAAATGGCGGTAAAGAAAACTTAAAAATCAGCCTCGTGTACAGTTTTTGCCACATGTATTTTCTCGCTTTTAACTCGACTGTCGAAAAAGAATAAGACTGGATGCACGCCAATAATGAAAACGAAAGTCAACACAAACAAATTTTTATCATTGTTTACACACATCAGACTTTGTTTTTTTTTACCAAGACAAGCTCGCGTCAGTTCCTTTTAGAAACTTGCTACATGTAGTTAGTAGACTTGCCTTCAAATCGAACTGCAAATGGGGAGCTCGGAGCGAGAAAATGTCCGTGATGCTCAAAATCCGAGTGCGAAGAATGCGAGGTAGGAACAAGTAGCACAAGCTCGTCTTTGGCGGAGGAGACTATAGACAACCGCGAAGGTGTAGAGAAAGTCCTTGCTAGTTACATGCGAAGGCGAATTGAAATTAATTAATTTAAGAGTACGATTTTTTTAAAACTTTAATCGTTGACACAAAATCTTATTGGCACTTAATTCATCGCATTATTAATGTAATCCACCATGAAAAGTCTTCATTGAGACGTTTTAAACTCGAAAATATACTGCGCAGAAACTGGAATTAGACGCATTTTTTTAATATTGCGCACGCGCCAACCTCAGTCCTGGAGGCCGCGATCCTTTTGGCCAGCACCAACAGTTACGTGACCTAAAATGCACGGGCTGTGGGGACGAGAGAAAGTTATAAATATCGTAAAATTAAAAGGGTCACTCAAATTAACTTTACAAAACGTTGATGGAAACTAAGCTTATGCCCTGCGTTACAGTCAGAGACAAAATAGAGAGATTGTGCAGGAACGAGAGAGGTGCATTCCAGGGACCATTCCAGACTTTAATTTAGGATGCATCAACAGGAATTCACCTGCAGTTCACGTGTATTCACATGCAGTTCACGTGTAATGCGAAGTGAGATTTACCAAAATAACACAGTTATAGCCTGACGTAATTTGCACGAGCCCGGCAGAGGAATTGCTTGAAATGGCAGCTAGTTTAGTCTGTGGTGTCACTTATCCACCAGGCACATATGTTTTAAATTTTCGTTTTAATTTCTGTTCCATTTATAATCTCTTCCTCATTCGTCTTTCTGGTGCTGCAGACAGCTGAGAAGTCAGTGCCCTTCGAACTCCTCGGTTTTCCGGTTGAACTATCTTTTTAAATCTAAATCACAATCCTGATTAAAATCTACACTGATGAGAGAAAAGCCGATTGAATTTGTGCCTAAAAATTTCAGGGTTACGTTGCTCTGTCGACAAAACATGGGCTACGTAGGTATGTGCCGCGAAATAAGGTGTGGTTTTTGAGGTTCTAGATCCTTAAATATGGAATCACTTTTGCCCCTGTTGGTTTTTGTTTTCGATGAACACATATGTACCCCTTAAATAGGGTACCTAAATTGTATCAGCTTAAATTGCAATGCTTAAACGCCCATCCAAACGGAAAACAAATGATCTTTTAAAACTGAACTTTCCAAAACAAAGTTGACCCTTTCACGTTATTCTTAGTTTTTGTTTTTCCCGTAAATAACGCATCAAGTTTCATTCGCTTCATCTTTAAATAGGAACAGGGCTTAAGACCGCACCCTTCACGAAACCAAGAGATTATGGTCATAACTTGATCTCTTGCCGAAATTTAGCGAAGTACCCCCTTCCCCCGGGATGCTTTTTACGTCTAAATACTTAGCGAAATGAATTATGAATTTTCTTCTCCGCTGTTCGTTGGTCAGTTAAGGTCTACAGAACTATGGTAGAGTAAAGTCCACTTCGAAAATGCGAATGATGAATGTGTGTGACACACATGTGGCTCCACGAATCTCAAACTTAAAGACAACAACAATGCTTTATTTACTCTAGACACTTTTGCATAGAATATTACAATAACTTAGGGAAAAGATATGTGCTTAAAGTCGAGTCGGGGGGATAAATGAACCTTGTGGTTTCCGAGTTATCTCCCTGCCTTTTACGTGCAAAACACGTAAGAGGGAGCTCAGACATGATTTTTTTTTTAGTTATTTTGACGGATTTCAAACCACGAAATTGAAATATTTTCGCTAAACTTTAAGCCATCGTGAATGCGGTCTTCAACCGACGGAGTTTCCGCGACTTAATTCCCTTGGCCCGCTATAATCCGTCGATCCATCCGCTCAGGAAGAATTAAACGCTCTACCGGTTTAATCTACTGTTAAAAGGAGTACTTTTATGCCTTAAATTGCGCAAACAAATCTCTCTGTGTTATTGTTGGCAAACCCGACCACACTTGGTTTTTCCTCTTTGGCGTCGCGAAAACGCCCCCTTCACGGTATTTCAAGAGGTGAGAAAAAGCTGTACTCTGACATCGGAATCAAAGTACATTTTCTGGAATTCAGGCAATTTGCGCCAAGAGCTTGCTTCAGGTTAAATATAAAATAGTTAAACAAAAAATGGACTAACAAGGAAACTTGACCCCTCTTATGTGGATTCGTCCAGGTGGTTTTCAAGTGCTCACTATCGTGTCTGGCCCTGACCTCGGTAGAAGTACATCACGTCCTTTGAATTCCGTTTGAGCTTAAGTCAGGACTTGTTCACTGTTCCCAAATTACTGATAAATCGAACGAAACAGTAGTCAAATGTTGATAACGTATTTATAACGGGTTTTTTCCATTCGCGCGCAAGATTATCTCTTCCAGGTCAAGGATAAGCTGTCTTTGGTAAAATTAACGCCTTGTGACGCTGACGGAAAAATTTAGAAACCGCAGCCGAAGCACAGACAGTCGATATTTGCAGAGTTTATATTCTGAGGTTGTTAAGGTTATTTAAGCATGGATTCCAATCAGAATTGCAAGCTTGTTTTGATTAAAAAACTCTCTCTCCCCTCAATGAAATAAGATGGCTTTATATGAAACTTCACTTTGACTGCAAAAATGTGGGAAAAAGTGTTTATAAACCTTCTGCCGCCGCTACTTATTTTCTAAAAAGAATTTGACTTTCGTTTGGAACTCGTGACAACTTCAAAGGATGCCGTTAACGCCTTTACATTATTATTTTTTTTTGGTAAAAAAAGACTCGCTGAGGTCAACTATTCATTCTAACGAAACTGCGAAATCTGCTCGTCAAATTAGGCTGAAAGTATGTAAACAACGTTTACTATTTAAAAACCACAGAAAATTCACGAGTCTCCCGCTACGAGCACTAAATGATATCCGTCCAAAATGAAATTGAATTTCCGAAAAGGGTTGGTAAACACTTTCATGTTTAGCGAATTCAGGACTCAATTCTTCTCTCGGACTTTAACCTTTTGACACGCCTGTATGTTTATATGCTTGCCACAGCCTTCTAAAGCAGAAGAGAACGTAATCATATGACAAGAAGGAGACGTTTTCAACGAGTGCAACTGTTGTTTCATTTGAAAATTGTTTCGTCGCATGCAAATTTTGGCGTAAATATTCAAGAAGGAAACATTTCTTGGCAAGAATTCGGAAACAGCGATTGACATGGGATAAACAGATATTTAATATCGTTTGGAGGTCTGGCAATGTCATCATACAGAATTGACACAATTGACCTGGGCCGGCTCTGAATACTACATAAATCATCGTGTATAAATATCTAAACTCCAGATCAACAGCAAACTGTTTCACTGCGAAGGCAGGTCGCCCGCAGCCGTCTTCAAAATACTTCAGCACTCCGCAATCGTCGACGATTCCCTCTGACGATCGACTTTTCAAGATGGAACTATGGCGAACAATGGTCGCTGCTTTTTTTGCAACGCTCTTGTTTTCATTTGTTGAAACAAAGAAAAGAAAGAAAGCCAAGCACCAAGTTCAGGTAGAAACGCTACAGAAACTGTGCCGTGGGTCCTTACCTCCAAGCACCAAAAAGAACATCTTGGAGCTTCAAGCGTTTTTCGACCTCAGCAAGGTACTAAACTTCCAATAGACAGTAAAGACTTAGAGTGTTAGCACAGAACACAACCGACTTGAATCACGCCGTAAATCAATGGTTTTATGAAAGATACGATGTTAAACAAATACATATTTTCCTTTGTTGCAGGCATTTGCATGTCTGAAAGTCGAAACTTGCTCGCGTGTTCCGGTATGTTTTGTTGAGGATACGCCCGGCCTCGGACACGAAAGTCTGAGCGATTGCACACTGTGGAATCTACTCCTTCTAGGACTCCAGGTAAAACGTGACTTAACGAGGAAAAAAGGCACTGTTTTTTTCTTTGCCTGGCTTGTGCCCCGGCCTAAAAAGGTGTATGCAAAAAATTAGTTTAGACCGTCACCGAAATTGGACAGGAATCAAATCAAGGTTGATCGTGCCACGAGTCATGTATAGTAGTAAAGATTGCCTCGGTTTACTTATGTTGAGTGTAATTCGCTTTCAATCTGAAGTGCGAATCTAACCATGATTTGTTTTCAATTAAATGACCTCTTGTTTTCTCCTCTCGTCTGAAGTAGTAGGCAATGTTAGTCGAAATGGTTCATTACTACTTCGAGCAAGCTTAAGCGTGTGTAACCACAAATCCGGTTATTAACATTGTTCGGGAAACGACACAAAGTCATAAAAACTCTAATGCTCTGACCCTTTGGAAGATACATTCTGGAACGTGTTCGAGGTTGTAAGCGTTGACCACACACTCTTAGTACATGCTGAATTAGAAAATGTACAAACTAAAACCGCACTTGATACCAGTTGATTTGGCCGAAACGTTTTAAAACAAGAAGACATAAATGTGATACTACCTGCTAATTTTTACAAACCCCTGGGGGTAAACTTTCCGATTTCTTCACTGCAGACAGAAAACTAGTAAGACTATTTCAAATGACTACACCTAATTTGAATAAAATGCCAAGGCCTATTTTATTTTTTCTTCTGACGATTAAGCAGACATTAGAGCGACTCAAGAACGAAATTCTCATCAAATTTCCATTTTGAAGAATTTGAGAATTCCTTTGTCCTTGACACGTTGACCTGCAAAAGCTGTTCAGCATTCCTCTTCTTGGCTAATTGGCATCCAAATTTAGTTCAATAATGGAGAAGTGCTTCAGTTCTTCAAACCTGTTGAGCAAAGTACTTCAAGTGATCAAAGTGATTTTTCGTCAACTGAGAGCGCCCGCCTGAGAACTTAATCAACTCGTGCCGTGCGTTGACAGATCGATAAATAGCTGTCTTGATGAACTCTTGTCGAGTACAATGTCTTCTCTAATTGCGTCATTTAGAAGTCTCTGCTTCTAATTGAATCCACCGCTGTTGTATTGGTTTTTCCTGAAACAATGTTTCTTGGAAGTCGACTTGGGTCTGACCTTGTGCAGAGAAGATTATCATTTGACCAGCGAGTTTCTGTTTGTTCGAAGTTTGTTTTATCTGTGAATTGGTTAATGACAGCTGTTAAGTCCGTCACAATGTCTTTAGTTTACAGTATCAAGTTAGCCATCTAAGATCATGACAGCAACAAGGATATGTTAGTTGGATTAGATAAAAGCTAGAGAGAAAAAAAAAAACTACACGAAAAAAAAAATCCCTTTGATGAACCGATTTTACATTCAGTAAAAAAGAATTAATAATAACGCTTGGAATGGATCCACTAAAGTAAAATATGTCTTATCAAAGATTATTAATTCAATAGCAATCATACTTGAAAGATGGCCGGCTTAATGTATCATTTTTATGACAGTAATACCGTTGCAAGACCCTTTCCTTTGACATCCAGCGGTTTTGCTTTTCACATGAATAACCCAGATCTTGTTCTGTTAACGATTTTCCTGTTTTGCCTCTCTGAGTTTTGGCTCCAAACTGCTTTCCACTGTCTTGAGGCCACGTCCACTCTGCGCCAGCTCTATTTCTACGGCTATGCCTTTTAACCGTCCACACTAACCCGTCACGAAAACCGAGCTTTCCGAAACCGGAGAAATTTGAGAACGCCGGCTTTGCCTTTTAGTGTAGACGGAAAACATTCTGAAAGCGGAGCTTTTGGAAAACGATGGAGTTTTCTTGAAACGCAAATTCAAAATGACTGATGATTGTTGCGTTTTCAAATTTCTCTGGAGTAGTTTGGACGGAAAAAAAATTGATACGTTTGCAGAGTGAAAACGCTGTTTTCAAATCAAATTAATCTAATTTAAGGCGGTAATCTTAAACAAACCCGGGACCTTTAACTTTTAAAACTTACTTGGGGTAATTCGCCTAGACACAGAACCACAATTTGACAGTTCCCTCTGTTTCGTTTGAGTTAAACGAGCTCTTTGATATGATTAATTGACAGAAGCTAGAGGCTGTAATCTCCGCACAAAGGCTTTTATCTGTTAAGCGACTTTCCACATACAAACAGAGGGGTTCTCCACGAAGAAACGAGACTTTAAACGAATTAAAGAATTCCTCGGAGGGGTCGTAATTAATCAAGATAATTAATGGCCGTAATAAGATTTATTGCTAATACCTTTTAATCTAACATGACCTTTTTTTACACAGTCAGTAAAGCCCACAATTGCACAAGCTGCTTCGGCGCGAAATATCTTTACCTTAACGGGTCCTTCACTTACCCAGTGTGAGACATTCCTACAGTAAAGTTAATGCTAAGAACGTTTGAGTTTCAACATTTCCGGTCATTAGTATGCCTCTTTCATGAAACTCAAAAGAAGTGCTCTGTTATCATACCACGAATACTTAAAGAAATACCAAAACGTTTTTCTCGTTTCACTGTTGTTTTTTCTTACGTAATCGTTGAGTGATCAAAAGGAAATATTTTTTCGGCAAAAATAACTGGGGACACAACGGGCAATGTAACACGTTGTTAGAAGCATGTTTGTTCCTGAATGCATTTATGAAAAGATTATATTTTATCCCGCTATAATCGTTCAGTTCGCCTGAAACATGTTGCTTATGGATCAACAACAACAACAACAACAACAACAACAACAACAAACTTCAATGATTGACAGAAATGTATTCTGAAACATTCGATAATTTAACAGTTTACCGCCAGACGGTGTAATCTTAGAAGAGAAGTGTGCTAAGAATTCTCACACTCCGTGAATCCTTTACTACGCAACTAAATCACGCCGGCGTAAGTCAAAGAAACAAACTGATAAGTAATTACCGACAAAAAAAAAATGGGACAACGTAGAACACACTTTAAAATCTCTTATACCCTTTATATTTCCAGAATGTGATATGAGGGAGGGATTTCTGCAAATAAACAAAATATTCTAAATATCTGAATGAGTGGACATTTTTTTGTAGCTGTCACCGGATATTCACCAATATCACGCCTACCTTTTTGCTGTCGAGACAGTTTCTATCTCTATCAAGATCGATAGTCCCTTTAACAATTTGTTCTTTTTCGAAAGATAATAAAGTGGATTAATTACCTCCTCAATAACTTCAAGTCCTTATAATACGACTCAGAAGTTAACTTCATTGTGATTGGCTGAGAGAAGGCATAATAAAGTGCATTAATTACCCCTCAATAACTTCCTTATCATACGACTGAGAAGTTAACTTCGTTGTGATTGGCTGAGAGAAGGCATAACAAAGTGCATTAATTACCCCTCAATAACTTCCTTATCATACGACTGAGAAGTTAACTTCATTGTGATTGGCAGAGAGGAGGCAGAATTATAATGAGTTTTTTATTCACGCTTCGGTGCAATTCTGTGGAAAAAAGATGGCGACTGATGTATATCTACCCATAATTTTAGCGCGCGAAACGTTCAGTAAAGTTCTAACATCTTCGCATATGGTATATGCTATGTCGTTAGCACAGGGATAAATATTGCCAAAAATGGCTTTCCGTGTACTTCATGGGCTGTGTAAGGTTCGTATGGCAATACGGTAAAATTTATAGCCACCATCTTTTTTCTTACGGAGGTTTTGCAAATTTTAGGCGGGCGTGCGTTTGTAATGTTCCCGGTCGTGTTGTTAATAAGAAATCGTATTGATGCTCGAGGAATTAAGGATATTCATGATAGTCACGGAGTTTCGTTCAAATTGCACTCTCCTCCTTAAGATATCGAGCAATTTTGAGATGATTAAGGTGGCCGGCATTTTTCCAGACTTCTACTTTAAAAGATGAATACTGCCACTCTTTCAGTTGGCATTAACGTAATGGCGTCAAAACAATGCCCAATCATCTGCCAACAAGTCAGAGTCATTTTGTTGACATTTCAAATCTCCATAGCAACAGTATCATCTGATTTACCACCAAATTCTCAAAACCAGCATTGAATGAAAAGTCTTGCATTTCACTAAAGAAAATTAATACCTTGAACTTAGTACTGAATTGGTCTGAATGGACTTCCTTCCAATTTTATCGCAGAAAAATCGCCGGATAGAGCCTGTGGTGGAAAATCCTGTGGTAAGTTTTAGTTTATTAATTATGCCACGAAATATTAGGAAACTCTTTGCTATCATTTATTTGCATTAAATTTTTCTTAGGGAAACGACATTCATCGGGGACAAATTCTTTGGGGCAGTTTAATCGTGCTATATCCATTGAATATTTAGAGCAGAAATATTAACACTGACGATCAAAAACTAAAGTTCTTATGCTCATGAAGCACACTATTGTACAGTGGCATGACGTGATAAACAGTGCTTAAGATAACCAGAGGTCACAGAATGAGGCTAATTTTACATGAGAGCGTGTCAATCGGCTCACGGAAACGTTGTGTATATTACCGGTGTCTTTACTCGGCGGCCTAATGTGAGAGAAAATATTTGAGCTTATCTTTGGGGCAAGAAAATTATCCGTTGTAAGCGGGTGTTCATTTTAAGCGGGATTACAATGTAACTGAAAGTTTCCCCTTTTATGTACGGTTTACATTGATTACGAACTTTATGTCCTTAGTCGGAGGTAGGTTTGACCTTTAACTGATTAGAAAACCGTTCTTCCGATCATAAGTTAAACCAAATTCTATTTGTAAGAACTAGTGAGAAAGCTGTTAATAACTGCATCTATCCAGATCTATCCAGTGAAGAGTTGGACTAATTTTGTAGTTTTCACTATCTCGTACTAAGATCGTCACTCAAAAACGATAACCGAGAGGGCCTGGGTCACCGATACGTTTTACATGTACAGTGGCGTTCCGTCAAAGTTGTGGCTTGTTTATCATCCAAAAAAAATTTCAGGCAATCTCCGTTGGGCTCCATATAGTTTTTAATATACATATTTTTTTAACAGAGTGCTCGATACCATGGTAAGTTTCGCATGGATTATTCCTGGGACGAGGCTGTCAGCAACCTGTGTCACGGAGCCAACGTGTATCGCTTTGTACCCACTGATACTGACGACGTGGGAAACACCAGCAGCAATGCTAGTAAGTGTACAACTGTTCAGGAAAGGAGCCCGCGACATTAGCTAGGTGTGGAAAAGGTCTCTGAACATTTTGTTTAAACCAAATAGCAAAGAATTTGCGCCTAATGGTGAGCGTGAGCGTGACTTGCGTGACAATGACCGTGACGTTTATGGTCGACGGTAGTAATGAGGAACACGACCGTGATCGTGACAGTACCGTGATCGTGGCGCTGACCGTTTCTTTAACTTGACCGTGGCCGTAACCGCGACATTTACTGTGATCATAACTGTGACTGTTACTGTAACAATAACGCAGCCTTTGATGGTCTAATTCAATTGCATGACATTGTGAATGTCATGCTGTATAGTCACCTTATACTTCTTTGTTGTTCGTCTGCAGCTTCCCGAAATTCCACTGCTACCTTGCCGACTACAGCTCCAACAACCAATCGGCATAAAAAAAGACAAGGCGGATCGCTAAACAAGTTTATCAAGCAGTTAAGAAAATTAAACAAGCATAGCACGAACAGCAATTCTACTTGTGAAGAGCTCAGAGGGTGCCAACGTATTTGCGTAGGGCAAAACGAGCAGTTGACAAATGTGTCCGATTGCCGTACGTTCAAGATCCACTGTACATCAAGAAAGCTCTTCAGAAGGTCGGCAAAGAGTAAAACTCAAAAGACGAAGAATAAAAAGCATAAACCCAGATCAAACTAGAAAACGAAGGGTTTGACATAAGTCTATTAGGATCGTGAGAACATGCAGAAACCTTAGAAATTCTCCAGAGCGTATGAAAACTAAAGGTGAAACATGATCATAGAACTCTGTGACAGAGTGCGCAGAAGTTAATTCAGCGAACTTAGAAGTTGGACAAATAAGATAAAGATGTCGAAAAGAATTTTGTCGCACGGTGACAGGTTTTTGAGCTTTATTTAGTTAGGTTCCTCAATTTTTTTTCTTGGACGTCTAATTATAGTTTTTTTTATAGTGGAGTAGATTTCCCCCTTAGCTGTTGTTTTCATATGCTCAATTGGAATTTAACTCTTTAAGAGTAAAAGAAAAACCTACACAACTTATAGCGATATAACTTGACGAAATATCCCTTAGTCGGGTTTGCATACGGTAAAGACATTAACATGTCTCGCTGAGAAAAAGACGTCAACTACACAACGTGAACCTACCGACATTGATAACTAAGGCAGCGTCCACAATACTCGTGAGAAATTTGAAAAAGCAGCTTTAATCCTGCTTTCCGAAAACGCTTTTCAAACCGGAGGAATTTGAAAACGCCGGCTTTTCACCTTAGTGTGGACGGAAAACATTTTAAAAACGGACCTTATCTAAAACGATGGCGGTAAAGACAAATCCAAAATGACCGGTGATTGTTGCGTTTTTAAATTCCTCCGGCGTAGTGTGGACGGAAAACATTTGATGCGTTTCAGAGTGAGACCTCCGTTTTCAAATTTCTTCGGCGTAGTGTAAGCTAAGCCATTAGTCACTGCAAACAACAAAAGTCGTGTACCACTTTTGACAGACAAAATTACTAAGGGAAAAAGTTTTCGTCATTAATCTCAGAAGTAGTTATGTTATTGAAAAACAATGCATTTGTAGTGCGGCAAAACTCCATTTTATTGGCTTAACACGCCTGTTAATGGAAGACATAAGAATTAGTGACAATATTTTATGGATTTTTTTCTGTAAGTTAAAGCCTGTAATTGTACATAGGACACTTAGTTCTTGAAAAGAACGGATAAATAAATGTATTAAACAGGACAGAAGTCATGAGTTTCTGAATCCTATAAATTGTAGATGCTAATGGCATTCAGTGTAAAGATGTGCGCAACTTTTTGTAGGAATGATCTCGCTAAATACATAACATGATCCCAATATCAGCGCAAGCGAAGTTTAAGATCGATCACAAAACAATTCAATGCTGTATACTTATTTCTTGAAATTGTTGGTAAACATAACTAGTAACTTTTTTCCATGCAGGGAAATGCTTGTTCATAGTTAATAGATGGACATTAAGTTGCTTATTACTTGGTTTTTGAGGCCTATCATTTGTAAGCAAATGGGCTTTCACAAGGTCGATTGAAACACATTGAAAAAGAAAGAAAGTGATTTACACCCGCTTTCAGTGTTACGTGCATAGCAACTACCTCTCGACATGTCATCTTTCGACATGCTATGTAACCTGGCCTACGTCAAAATGTAAACACAGGTGGCTTCTTTACGGTCGAACTCGACTTTTAGTCATGAAAGATGGATTTATTTGACATCAAACCAAGGCTAGGAACATCAAGAAAACATTCTGTGAGGGATAAATCGACTGCTTTGAATGTTTACATCTTTCAGATATCAACTGAGCGGTATCTGCCCAATTCTACCGGAAGTCACTATTGAGAGCCGATCGACTACACTAAAATCGTTTGAATTATCCCCTAAATCGGGAGTCCACAATCTTCTTCATTCACTTGAGGTCAGTTATTATCATACACTTGTCATTTGTTCCGCTAATAACGGGAGAAATTGCTAGTTTCACAGGCAAACGGTATTTCAGCCGTTTTCATAACATGTCGAAAGATGGAATGTCGAGAGATGATCGAAAGATGTCGCCTATGCACGTAACAAACACTGAAAGCGGGTGTAGGCCAAATTGATTCTGAGTTAGAAGATTCAAGGCCTCCCTCCTTAATCTCTTTCTTTTGTCTCCTATCTCCTAACCTTTGATGAAAGAGACTTCCCTTCCACTTTACTTAGTATTAAGTTATTTCCCTTTACTGCTGAGCAGCCGCGCCATAATATTACGTCCAGATTGCCGCGGCCCATTCTCTTTTCGAATCCACTCACCCTACACGCCCCCTCTGCTTCTGCAAATCTTTACTGTCTCCTCCGCCACTAAGTTTTAGATTATATTTTGAGCTGCGGAAATATTTTGAATGAATAGCAAGGCAATTATTAAATTCGTCTTTTGGTATGGTCAGAAGATGTTTTCCAATTTGGTCTATTTTGGTTTCGGTAGATAACACCTTAATTCCTTGGTCTGCTTAATTCTTCATATCACACTCAGCATCATCTAATATCTATTACCATCAATGTTCTGATATCTATGTACCCATAGACCGATTTCAGTAATTCCCAGTCTGGAAGACAAAACAACGGTTTTTCTCTCCCCTGAGATGAACAAACCTTTCAAATGCAAATCAATCTTATTGTTTTGTGCTCCAGATTGGAAATTAACTGAACGGGGTCTATTGATCGTTACATGAATGACAGCTTCTTCTTCACTGAGTACTTAGTATATTATGCTGTTAGCCCAAAATCCTAAGGAACTGCACAATTAATATCAGAATTGAACAGGATAAAGTTGATATACAATAAATGGATTGTACAATTTGAAAAATAATTTAATTAAGAATAACCCTATCATTTGCAGTCTTCGCACAATTCGTTATCATTCAATTGACAACTTGGACAACATTTAGTTAATTATGGAGCGATTTTTGTATGGCCTTAAAATGATTAGCGTGCACACGAACGAAACAACAAACAAACTAACCGGAAGCAATATGATTGGTTTAGCAAACACATGCGAACGCGCGCGGCTTTTGGTTGGTTTAGTTAGCGAACACACAAAGCAATGTTTACGGATGGCGAGTTTCTATTCTCTTCGCATGCGCGCCACTCGCTTTTAAGGATGAAAGCATAATCGAATTCTAAGGCTTTCTATACGTTAAGGTTTGTTTGTTCTAGCGTACAAGCATAAGTAAGATGTTTATAACTAGTTCCCTTTTTAAGCAAAATTTCCGGACAGAAGACGCCATTTAATTCAGCAACACCAGTACACCGACTTTGGTGGCTAAAACAAAGGGAGATTTCAAACTGTTTCCCGCTTTCACCTACTTTGGTCGAAATTTTCGTTCTCGTTTGTCAAAATGGCCTCAAACAATGATGAACTCAGCTGCGGTCAAACGCAACTTTGCATTGGTAAATAAAACCTTTGCATAATTCACACATTAAAACATTATCATTCAGCGTTAAAAACTCAGTTATGAAACAACACATACAAGTTTTTACTATAAACCCCTATTGTGGCGTTTGGAAATGGAAAATTACGTGAAGCTAAAGTTCTTAGGTGGAAAGTTTGGGACTTGCGTTGTCGGTCGCCACCTACCTCTCTTTCTTATAAACTGAATGGATTCTATACTTAGAATTGCAGATATTTGAGTACTGTTTTCAACACCTATGACAAAGGAGAGTCCATTATACAGTTCAATGATAATGAATGTCCGGAAATTTACTGCATCCGAACAGCACAACATATACACTTAGTTTCGTAGCAGAAACGGAATATTTTAACCCCTGAGCTAGGTCAGCAAGCAACGGGAAAAACTGCGGAAGGTGGGTTTCAAATTTGAATTTTGTTGTTATCGGTTTGTAAGAAAGTAAAATAGTCTGATTGTAAGCTAAATGAAAAGGATTTCGACAAAGTTTTCCTTGCGTGTTGAAACCAGGTTCTTCTTTTCTATCGCTGTTAGCTTCTGGCAAACAAAAAAAAAAAAATGAAACTTTCGCTATCTGTTAATTCGATTACCAGCCATATCTGAATTTTAGGTATTTCATCAGTTGTAACACTGTGTATAAAGATTTGCGCATTTCGAAAACTGTTTTGTTGAGTTTCGTTTCATTTTCAGGGGGGTTTCATTTATTGTGATGGAAATTAACTGTCAGTCTACAGTCTTCTGCGATAAGGTTGATTCTAACAAAAAATCCGTAAAACCTAAAATAAGACTGCTTTTAAGCATCCAAGGTCTTTTCAGTTGNGGAAATGAACTGTCAGTCTACAGTCTTCTGCGATAAGGTTGATTCTAACAAAAAAATCCGTAAAACCTAAAATAAGACTGCTTTTAAGCATCCAAGGTCTTTTCAGTTGCATAACTAAAAATGCTAGCTAGCATTGCAATCAGATAAGAGTGTAAGCCAATGCAGTCTTTTTCCATCCTAATCACCCTTCTGTATCAGTTAAAGAAATCATCAGCGACAAAAACAATAGCTTCTTAAATTTTAATGCAATGTATTGTTAGACGCAGAACAATTCTAGAGACCAGGCTTCGATGTTAATAGGCCAGTCTGCAAACACAAAGTTATATTTTTCTGCTACACACTTTGAGATTTTCCTTCGAGTCAAGATTATTTTTTGTGATCAAACGAAAGTTGCTACCGAAGCTCTACCAAACGTTGAATCTGCGCATTCATTAATACATTTCAACATTAAGGTTTACCAAGAGGAAATGATAACTTGGGTTTAAATTTGCTTTAAATTTTGTCTTACATGCAAAGATGATACTGTGTCTACTTCGTGTCCCTGTTTTAAGCTATAACGAGGCCTCGTGTTTTGCGTTTCTTCTCTGCTTTGATTAATTTTGTTCCTAATGGATTTACGAAAATTAGATTAAAGTGCGAAATCGTGTGAAGCCAAAAGTCTAATTCAAAAGGTATATATTGTGAAATTTTAATTAATCTCTTCATATTTAATATTGCACAGCTATTACACACCTAAACGGCAAATGTTTATATAGGTTTGTTCCATTGGAGGTTTCATGTAACTCAGGGTTCAAATGTAAACTAAATAAATGAGGATTTCCTAAACAAGTAGGTTGATTAAGACACTAGCAAACACAATGTTTATCACACCTTTTGTAAACTAGCTATTGACATATCTTTGAAGTTTTCCGCCTTAAACGTCACGCAATAATTAGCTGTTGCTCACTGGATAAAGAAAAGAGAAGCAATTGCGTTGAGCTAAAACAATAACTCAGCCTTGTGGAAAACATCAACGGCAACCTAAAACGCTATATTTGACATTACATAATTATTAAAGTATTACATAAACCGATAGCAAATTTCGTATAAAAGAAATTTTGATTCCCACATTTGAAATTGTCTCTAATTACAATCGAACGTAAATCCACAAATGCGACTGATGAGAATGTTTTAAGTAATGCATATTATATGTAATCGCTCGAAGCGAAATGGTTGTTTCAGTTTGAATTCCGGTTAATGAGTCTGTCAAATGCGAATCATTTTGTTTTGCTCCGGTCCATGACAAGTTGTTAATATTTCAGCTAATACCATTTATTTTTGTAAGAATTAACAATATAGCTCACTTCCTCTTGACCCAAGGTGATATTAAGATATCGAAGAAGTCATAATTACAGCCAGTGAAACATCATTACAGGATCACCTGTCACAACTGAAGTGAAATTGGTTTTCACGCTATGCGGACCTATCCAGAAAAAAAAAGCCGTTAGAGGCCTTGATGAAAATGATGAAAATAAACCAAACGAACAAACAAACAAACAAACAAACAAACAATAAAACAAAACAATAACAACAACAAAACAAAAACAAAAAAGGAGCAAATCAGCAGTGTGGCCATATATTAAAATGTTCAAAATTGCATCGTGTTAGTAATATATTGTCATAAATAGGCTAGTTGGGATTATGAAAAGTTTGACAATCTAGGCGGATCTTTGTTCACGCCGGTAATTTTCCAATGTGAGAAACAAACATTTCAGTGTGTGGGCATTTTCCATTTCATTAAAAGTTGAGGAGCTTTCGAGACGGGTGCAAATGGTATGCAGAATTCCTAGGAAAGATTTCGGCAAATTCGAAAATTGTTGAATTTGTGAATGCGAGCCATTTAACCGAAAATCAAATGAAACGGAAATTTTTTGGGAAGTTTTGGGATACCTCACAAGGATGACCTCTTTTCTAAACTTCCAAAAATGCTGTTCCATTCGCCACTAGAACAGGCTGGAAATACAATTAATAAGCACTTAATGACTGGCATGGCGCCAAGGGAAACAGTGAGTTTTGTTTCCCGAGACCCTCAATGTACCCCGAAGCTTTTGTCATGTAAATGCGCCTAGTTAGCATTGGAACACATTTGATTTACACAACAAAAGCAGTGAGGTCTTTATCAAAACAAGGTCACCTCCAGCCTCGCTGTCATCCAAAGGCCAGGTCACTGAGCAGACAACTACAAAATGGTCTATTTCAATAACCGTTAATAACTTTTTCAGATTTAAGTGAAAGCTGCCAGACCGTGCGACTGTCCTGAAATTTATCCGGTAGCAATTTGATATTGTGGTTGGAACAATAGGCATGCATGTCAATACATCGGCAGCCGTATTTTGTCGTGTACATTTTCCAAATTTGGAATTTTGTTGTTTTTGTGAACAAAATCTCACTGTCATGCAGTTGTTGTCTTTTATAGGTCTTTTAAACATCAGTTTATTGATTTTAATTAGTTTTGAGTTATCTTTGGTGGTTTTCTGACGTACTGCGGAAATATCAGTTGAAAAATCCAAAATGGAGGAACCAAAACAGCATGCACGTATATTAACATATTACGTAATTACCACGTGACATGACGCCATCAGATCATGTTACTTGCATCAAAGGAAACATTTTTGGACTTACTAAATGTCCTCTGGGTTTAAGTAACTTAAGAAATTCGTCATGATTAAATAACTTTAAAGTTACGGAGGGTGGTGGAATCCGCTGATCTTACTGGTCAGTTATTAAAAGGATCGAAGAAAGCTCATGTCAGAATATCGTGTGGCTTAAAATTTTTGCTTAATTTTGCGGATCGGCAGTTTTTTGTACTTTGCGGGAACTAAGTTTTGATTTTGTGAAAGACTGGTTTTTCGTGCTGGGTATCAATTTTTCGCGATTTTCACTATGATATCGCGTTTATTTGAAATACAGTGGAAATTCTCTTAAAGGACACTCTCGAAAGCGGACCGCTCTGCTAAAGACCGCCTTCACAAACCCCCATTTGATCTGCCATAGTATTTATTCATTACCGTAAGCAGACATTCTCGTAAACGTCCACGGACAATTGTAGGGCTTACAATCTAGACTTTTCCTTTGGTCATTTCACATTGTAAGCTCCCGTAAATGGACACTTCAAAGGAATTGGGCCTGACTTTGAAAGATACTTATAAACATTTGTAAACTGTATCACTGCTTTTTCTTGCAGTGACTGTTAAAGCCGATGATGATGCTAGCTGCAATTATGATTTGTTCTTTAGTCACTAAGGGCCAGTCCTATTACTACAGCACACAGTACTGTTTACATGCAATAATCGCCATTATCGCGGTATTGCATTAGGCAATAAAACAAAGAATAATGATAATAATTTGGTGGTATTTTTGCATTCCCAATGTTACTTGTAAGCTGGGCAAGCTCCCATAAGCGGCCTTCTTTCCCTTACAACTCTAGTGGCCGCTTACGAGAACTATTCTCGTAAGCAGCTAGCTCCAGTTATGGACTGCTGTTTCGCGCCCCGGGGGGTGTCCGCTTACGTGGGCTTCCATTGTACAACATTTTCGGCTTTTTTTATAGCACTACACGGTAATTTCGCGGGAACTTTTATTGCGGTTCGTGGAAAGAACCGCAAAAATCGAAATTAGAACCCGCATGTCGTGCTACACGGTAGGGTATAGGAGTTACTGTTCCCAAGAAATTTGAGCCCGATGTATGTAGTATGCAATATGCCCTCTTCGTGGAAGTTCGAATGCTCACTAGACAAAATGTAAAAATGCTCGTGATACTAATGAAAAATCGACTACTATTCAACCAATAAAAACTTTGGATTTCAACTGTCATTGAAATTTCGACCTGTTCCCTTCATACTCACCTATATCGAATATTTTTTTTCTTTTTGAACAGTACCACTAATGGCAAATTTGAACAATACATACTGAAAGATGCTAAGATTTTTTTGAGCTAAACTCTTCAAATCTTAAGGAGGCATCTTGTAATTGCATTAACAATCAAAGAGAACGTCTGAATCACTGTATTATTTCTACATGTTGACTGACTCAAACAAACCTTCCATTTTCAGCGGCCGATACTCTTGTATTAGAATTGGGTTTCATGGTTGAGTTGAATCTTACCCACAGCTTAAAATTTCCACTTCTCAAAATTAGATTCCTGAACAGAAAATTACGTCAATTTTGACCACAAATTGACGAACCCTATCTTGGATATCAAAGCAACAAAAAAGCGCTCTGAGAGCCAATAAATCATTGCAATAAATTAGCCAGCTCTATTAGTTTCTTTCATACTGTTTGTTAATCATCAAAGTAGAAACTGCTTTGCCTTGCTAGCTATCGTCTAGTTGTAGGGATATGACATAAGCCGGATATTTACAATTTTCAGAACTAGAAACTTAACTTATTTCGGGGAGCAGGGATGGTGCAGTGGTGAGAGCGCTCGCCTTCCATCAATATGGCCCGGATTCGATTCCGGCCCCGTTCCATGTGTGGCTTGAGTTTGTTGTTGGTTCTCTCTATAGTTTAAAATTCGGTACAAGCACTGAGGTCAGCGGGACACAAACGATAAAGAGAGAAAAGCTCTGAAACTCAATTTCTTTATCAACCAAATAATGCAATTCAAAATTATTTCTGTTCCAATTTCTTTTTTTGTAATAAAGTTGAACTTCCTGGTAACAAGGTAATAGGAAATATGCCGTACTAGTTGTGGAACTATTCTAATGTAATACGAATTAACTCTTGTAAGAATTAGCAAGGAATACACGGGTTTGTTTCAAAGTATCAAATATTTTAAAGTTATGTTTGATTTAAGAATAAAATCATGTAAAATAATGTTTTGAAAACACTCCTTCAGTAATTGTACAAAACAGTGGAATTTATTCGTTTATTACAGATCAAATATTTCAAAGAAATTGAGCCGATTAGATAAAGCTTACATCAGGCATTAAAGCCGTAGGGAATGGTTGAAAATTTTCACGGGAGAGAAATATCCATACAGAAGTTGATATAGTTATCTCGATGATCACAGTTTTTTATAAGCAGATTTTATCTTGCTCAATAATGAAAAATAAACACTTCTAGGTGAAAATCGCGGTCGTTGAGTCGAAACGAGAAACAGATAACACAAATTCCAGATTTTTCTATTTAAAATTCGACAGTTCCACTTTATGAATATTTTCAGTAAATGGTTTATATTGATTTTGAGGTTTATCGTCCATTTAGTCGGATGTAGATCACTTTAGGTCTTTAATTAAAATCCTTTTTTTGCACTACACAAAAAGCGTTTAGATTTTGATCAAAAATTAAATCAATTTCACACTTGAGAACCAATGAAAACGCTGTGAGTGAATTGTAGATTACAAGTTAATCGTCTGGTTGGTCTTGTACGTGTTGTACCCTTATAATGTAAATTAAAGAATAATTATTCACTGATTAAGTAATAGAGACTTGTGACTTGACCATCCAGGAGTTTTGATTTATTTTAGTCTTTGTAAAATTCAGTAACATGTAGCAGTTTTTTTGGAATTATGAAACGCCTTGCCTTTTACGCCATCATCATATTGTGTCACGTTCAACTTTTAGTTCAACATTTTGCGATGGCTGATTAAAAAAAAGTGACGGAAAGATCTGAGGAAAGAGGAAATTATTTCAAATGCCGGATAGGTTTGCGGCAAATTTCGATATCGGGGCAAAAATCAAGCGAATAGAAAAATTCATTTGTCTCATAAAAAATGATAACAAATGACATCCGTGCGGTCAAAAACCAATTTGAGTGTTTTCACCGAGAAAGATGAAGCACTGTTATTTTTTTTACAGGAGAAAATATTAAAAAAATAAAAATATCTCCCTAGAACTATGACGCTTAAATTTAATGAAGAATCAATCGTAATTTTCAACCCAGGGAAACAGGAATTTGGAGTAAAAACATCTGAAAAAACTGTTTCGTGCGCTCTGAGTTGTAACTGATTTCTCTGGACTAATTTTCGTGTTTACCAAAGATCGTATTAAGATCCATTGTGACCGAAACCATCCTTTCACGAGCTAGATACTGTTCGACAAGACCGGATTTTGCGTCGTTTTAAAAATGCTTCGAGCGTATTTAAAGTAAGAAACCTAGCTGATAAAATCTACAATTCCGGGAAGGTTCAAGATGCATTTTTCAAATGAAGATTAAGTTTGCGGGAAGAGATTTTAGTATAAATACATTAATTGTTCCAGAGTTAAAGCATTTGTTTGTAGCCTTCCATCTCTCTTCGACAGTCCACTAACTGTGTGAATTCGACAGAGCGTGCTTTTGTAAACTCTGAAGAGGTTTGTATACTCCGATATTTTTAGTCATATCTATTCTTATTTCAGGGGGAAGAGTTGCGACTTTTCCTATTACACAGTGCTAACTATACCCCGTAAAGTAACTTGTTATGATGAATATTTTGCAACGATACAGATAGGAAAAAACAAGACGAAGCAAATACTTTCAGTATACGCTGATATGGGTGATATGGGCCGAGTGCCAGTTGCAACGGGGCAGATATTTCAGAGCTAGTGCATGAAATCGAAGGCATGTTTGACTGAGTTATCTAACCTAACGTTATCTCTTAGAACAACACTCGAGGTGGAAAAACACTGATTGAAGGAAATGTTAATGTAATTTTCGAAACAGAATTTCTCTAGCTCTAGATCATCGAAAATGCTTGAGAAAGCTGCTTTCATACAATTTATCTCCAAGCAAGTTTAGGGAAGGAGTGTATTTTCCACAAAAGTATATATAAGAACCTAGGTGAGCTATTGATTTGCGAAGATTTAGCTCAGTTCAGTCGCATTATGTTACGAAAAACCTATAATGTCCGAGTTTTTGCGTTTACTTTATGCACGGCCCACCAAAATCCTTCTAAAACCCTAACTGTAAATAGAATTTGAGTTCAGTTTAATCTTTCCTTACGTTCAGAAAAAACTCTTAACTGCGTTTTGGTTGC